TTAAGTATTTTTAGTCACTAGCGCCAGTCTGTTGCCATTCGAGTTTTAGATAGAGCAGCAGTTATGCTCTTAAGATCTTTGAGACAGAGCAGCAGTTATGCTCTTGAGATATTTAAGTTGAGCAGCAATTATGCTCTTGAGATTTTAAGATGAGCAGCAATTATGCTATTGACAATCATGGAAGAAGAGCCTTCCACGATAAGTTTAAGTTTAAGGAAGCCTGGATGGCTTCTCATACGTATGAGTTGGAAACCGGACTAGCTAGTGAGGGATCCCAGTGTCAGTCAAGAATTTAAGTTGAGATTTGAGCTTTAAGAATACAGTTTAAGAGTTAAGATTTTTAATAGTGGAAGTACGAAACAACTTCTACTAATTTAAGTAAAGTGATCAAGTATTAATAAGATGTTAAACCTAAGGGCGTAGACTGACCCCATCTCACTCACCAGTTTGAAGAGCTAGAGGAGTAGTCAGTGAGCAGCAAGTTCGAGGGCAGCCAGCTAGAGGAGGGCAGTATAAGCGTCACAGAGGATGCTTAGTCAAGGTTTTCAGTAGCAACAACATTAGAGATTATTAGTTATTTACATTTATAATTATGAGTATAGACTGGAGATCATTTTGAGATTTTAAGTATTGAGTTTGCCCATGTGTTAGGGCGTTGCTTTAAACTACAAGTGTGTGTTTTCTGTATTTTATTTATGTACATTTTTCCTGCTGCGATTTAAGATTTGAGTATTTTATTTTTCAAGGGCATTTTAGTAATACCCGGCTGGGTTATACCCGCTTTAAACTAAAAGTAATACCCGGCTGGGTTAGGGTGTTTCATTTTGGTATCAGAGCCGGTCTTCCTCTGTTCCTTGGTTTCCAAGGAATACTGGAATATCGGTCTCAGTTTTAAAGACTTCTCTTTTTAAAGGAAAGGAAAATGAGTCAAGAATTTTGTTTTAAGAGCTTATAGAATCTCCAGTCTACTATAGTCATATTAAGGAAAATAATAATAAAAACACGACACAACGGGATGGTAACACGAGGGTGTGATTGTTTAAGAATAAGCTAGGGCACGGTTTAGGTAACACGTTGTGGGACTTCAAATAAGAGAATGAGGTGTATGGAGATCATCAGTATGAAAGAAGGATGCAAGGTATGTCATCAACTCAAGTACAATCTCAAGATACTAGGCAAAGGAGGTGGATTCTATGAATGATGTCAAGTTAAGAATGATTAAGAAGGCTCTCATGATCAAGTATCTTGTCAACACGATGGATAGCAGTTCATAAGTCAATTGACCGATTTCGCGGACGTTATCAACGAGATATCATCATAAACCTAGAGAAGGAAAGAGGAACGTTTGAAAAGGTCTATGGAGGTAGAATAAAGTGTGTGGGAACTTCAACTCTAAACACCAACAAAGAGTCATTGAGTACGAGTTGAACGAGCATAGGGAAGCTGGAGGAAGTTCAATAAGGATTTAAGGACATGAACCTTAGCATATGTGGTGTGCAGATAGCAGTCATGGGCTATTCTAACAAGAAAGGATCCCCGAAAGAAGCTCAATGAAACCAAATCGTACGATTGGTATGGGAACAATGCAGTAGAGCACGAAACACTATGTGGTTCATGGAACTGAAATACAGTCGTCCATCACTAAGAATTCCATGGACGTACTAAAAGGTATGGGGAGATAACGATCGAGCAAACAAGGAAGCAAGATGTCTGAAGTCATAAAAGAAAATATGACCGCTTTGTATAGGAGGCAATGAACCAGCAAGGGAAGATATATGATCGCATGAACAAAGTTAATCTAAGACAAGAAAAGAGTTAAAGGATGTGGAGGAAAAGTTGTGGTATCAGTACGATCACCACATGGAGGAAGGTGACATCGAAGTCTAAACCAAGACAGTGGTCGGTTAATACATGAGGAAGGAACCGAGTATAGACAAGCAAGCAAAACATTCATTAGAAGGTCCAATAAATGTTAGAGAATTCAAGGAAGAGTCTCAACAGTCATGATAAAGAGAATTTGCATAGCATACCAAGAAAGAGCAAGAAGGTCAGAGGAAGTTTGTCGAGATTTCAAGAAGTCAATTGATTAAGTATTAGTAGGGAGTTACGAGTTCCTTTGTGCGAATGTATCATTAAATTGTTTAATGATTGGCAAGCAATCTAGAAGTAGTACTGGACATCGGGAAGCCATCTTTAAGGACATAATTGTGAAGTGGCATTAGATGTCGTGGAGTGTATTAAATCAAGGAAGTACATGAAAGTAACTGATAAAGGAGTGGGAATATGTGCAAGTGACTCGAGTTCAAGGAGTGTGCGTGGAGGAATATAGTTAGGAAATGTCGAAGCAGGAATACAGAAGACTACCAGGAAGCATTAGGTTGACTATCAACAAAGAACAAGTGATCCATAGGAAGTCCATCAAGAAATTTCGGCCAATTTTAAGGTGGAATCAAGGTCGTCAAGAATAGTGGAAGGGAAAACCTTATAGGCCAAAGTACATAAGTGAGAAGAGGATATAGGAACCTGGAGGACTACGTCGCAAACAAGGGACACTTAAACCTATAAAGGAACATTAGTAAGAAGAGTCACGAGTAACAAATTAAGAGGGATATAAGTTTAGGGAACTTGCTAGAATATCCCAAAGTGAAACCAAGATTGCCTATGCAGGTGAAAGGTGGCAATCTCTCGGGTGAAAATTTCTTAGACAAGGAAATCATACGAGGAATTTTATCTAAGGTCTAAGAATGGCAGATAGAAAGTACGAGAAATCCAAATTCAAGCATCGATAGGGAAGTGCTATGTTAGGCGGTGAGAGTGAAGAAGTATGCAAAATGGAAGGTCATGATTCTTGAAAGGAGTCATAAGGCTGATCGCAAGCTAGAGAAAGATGCAAAAGATGCCTTTAATGCATACAGACAATAAAAGCAGTAGTATGAGGTTCCTGTGTTTAGAAAGAAGTAACGAGGAGATGACCATTCAGTTTATGGTTAAGAGATACTAGGACCTAGGTGACCTATGAGGTCAACCTCGGACGACAGTTACAGTAAAAGAGTTTTACCATATGACTGAACAGTAGCTGATTCAATTCAATCAAGAGTTCGATTCCTGGACAGTAGCTGATTCAATTCAATCAGCTTCAGCATAAGGTGAATGTAAAGGGGTAAATTCTACGCCTTACGATTTTCAAGTATTTGCCTTGAGTATTTTCGAGTATTGTTTTACGTGATGTATGTGCAGTATTTCATTCATGTTTGAGATTGCATGATTATGGTTGATGATATGTGCCTTGTTTGAATTATGACTTGAAGTGAATGGTTATTACTTTGAAATTTTATAAGTATAAGTTGTTGTTAAAGTTTAAGCAACAAGTTCTTTTTAAGAAGTAACTCGCCTTCAAGAAGGTGAAGTCATTTTAAGTGTTTTTAGTCACTAGCGCCAGTCCGTTGCCATTCGAGATATTCAGATATAGCAGCAGTTATGCTCTTGAGATCTTTGAGACAGAGCAGCAGTTATGCTCTTGAGATATTTAAGTTGAGCAGCAGTTATGCTCCTGGGATTTTTAAGATGAGCAACAATTATGCTCTTGAGAATCGTGGATGAAGAGCCTTCCACGATAAGTTTATGTTTAAGGAAAGCCTGGATGGCTTCTCATACGTATGAGTTAGAGGAGGAGCTAGAGGAGCAGTTAGTGAGAAGCGAGTTTGAGGGCAGCCTGGTAGATGAGGGCAGTATAAGCATCACAGAGGATTCTTAGTTAAGGTTTTCAGTAGCAACAACATTATAGATTATTAGTTATTTACATTTATGATTATGAGTATAGACTAGAGATCATTTTGAGATTTTAAGTATTGAGTTTGCCCATGTGTTAGGGCGTTGCTTTAAACTACAAGTGTGTGTTTTCAGTATTTTATTTATGTACATTTTTCTTGCTGCGATTTAAGATGTGAGTATTTTATTTTTCGAGGGCATTTTAGTAAAAGTAGTACCCGACCGGGTTAGGGTGTTTCACATAACAGAAATAGAAATTTTCAATTTGGAGAAACACCTTTTCACTTTCAGTCCGGAGGTCTGTAAGATAAAAGCAGAAAGAGGGCATTCTCAGGCGAGAACCCTACCAGGTTGGCCTTGTAACTCTACTATTTATTCAATGAAATTTCACTTTGTGTTATATTGTCTATATACTTTCTATATTTGAGCACTTGTAAATATCATTATGAAACTCATTTTCGTTTACGTTACTTTCTCTTTTAAGCGCATAGTATTATATGGACGACATGCTGATTATACACAACATAGCAGTATTTAGGTAACTTTTCATTTACTAGTACCCAATCCATTAGTTAATAGGTTTCTTTGTAGTTTACTTACTTTCAACTATTAAGAATTCCACCGAAGTTCAACTATAGATCTATATATAGTGGGCTTACCAAAACAAGGTTTCAGAAATACAAACCCCAAAATCGAATCCAAACATAACCATCCCAAATAGGAAAAGTATAACAGAAATAGGGTAAAATCTTTGTAGAGGAATCCTTTGTAGATCCAGATCCAACAAAATTCACCACACCAGACTCGAATTTCTGATTCACCAACCCTTACCAATTTATCAATCAATCAACAATTCCAATCTAATTAAATCACAAGCAGTGGTTGTGATACTTAGTGAGCTAGCTTATTTGAACAAAAAACTAAGTTTTTTTTATGAACCCTTATTTACCAAAACTCATATCCATAATCATTACAAGTTCATTAAAATAATCTTCATTTTAAAAACCCAGATCTGCAGATAATGAAAATCGCAGATTAGCAAGTCAAAGTCAGCAAAACCATTTTTCCATCAACTCAGATCTATAAACAAACTAAAAACCTACAATAATATCATCTTTTAATTAGTTCAACCTCCCTAATAATACTAAGCCAAGTTCATAAGAATACACCATTTAAAAAAAAAACATTCAAACTCATACATAACCAATTTTATTTAAAACCCAGATCTGCAAGCTGTTTTCAAATCCATGAATCATATTTCTTGTCTTTTACTTGGTTCGATCTCCCAAGTCATACAAAGTTGGGTTTAGGAACCTTACCCAGGTCTGTCCATTTCCAAAACTGCGTCAGAACAAAAGTAGAGGTCTCAATCGATTGAAAAGATAAATAATCCTACAAAAAACAATTAAACATTGACGAAACAAATCCCACATGTTTCCGTCGTAGATCATCTCCATCTTCTGTCGTTTGCTCTTCCTCTTTACCGAAAACTAAAAACCAGAAACCAAAATGAAACCCAAAATCAGAATCGTAACATAAATAAATAAAGCAAAATCAAACATAGGAAAAACATGCAAGCTCTCAATCGTCACTTACCTTAGTTGTAAGGTTACCGCCGTCGCCAAAGCATTGTCGGCACACCTTTGTCGGCAGAGATCCCGCCACCCATTTCCTTCTTTCCTAAACCGAAGCAAACCCTGTATTCCTCAAATCAAACACAGCAAAAAAAAAATAGTAGAATTCCATACAAAAATTTGGAAAATAGAAATGGGAACCATGCATGTCGATTTTACCTTCATCCTGAGAGGAATTGCCGATTTGGGGTCGTCGCGGTCGGGTTCGTTGATCGACGATGAGGAAGTAGAGCGACAGCGGCGGCAGCGGCGTCTGCTTAAGAGAGGGGAAGAATTTTGTTCGGGTCGTTTTTTGGAAGAGTGAACCGAGAGAGGGGAAGGGAGAATCGGCCAGCGGCCAGAGGAGAAGGGAGAATCGGCGGTGATTTTGTTCTTCTCAGTAAGTACTGGGGAAGAAGAGAAACAAACGAGAGAGAGAGAAAGAGGGAGAGGTCGCTTTCTTCCTCTCCTCCCAATTTTTTTTCTTTTTTTTTTCGTCTGTGATTTCTGGAAGAAGAGAATCGAGAGGGAGTAAGGAGAGAGAGGGCTAGCAGCGGCTGCCGCTTAGGGTTAGAGGGGGGATTATGGTTTGATTAAGTCGAGGATAAAAAATGGTAGTGATTGGGTTTCGAACCCTCATTCTCGGGAATGAGTGCGTTCAGTGACCCGCAACTTAGCTAGTTGGGCTACTGGCCTATCATGCGTTAATCTAATCCTCTCGTTTAAAATCCTTAATACGAAAATGCTGAATGTGGATTAAGTTAGTTTTGCTTCTTTTCTGATACCTCAAGTTTCTTCTTAATAATTAAAATTCTTGCATTCATTTTAGTAACATCATAATAATCTAATAGAAATTTTATTAAACGCATTATAATGCGAGAATAACGTTCAGTGGAACGTGATAAAAAGTTAGGATTAAAACTATGAAAGTTAACAAAACCTTTAATATGAGAACCATTATAGGTGTAACGTGACAAAAGTCATACAATTAAATCATCAAAGTTATAACGAACTACGTGGACTTTGAAACCGTATTACAGGTACGTAGCCAACCGATAAGGTTCGAGTCCAACTAACCAATTAACTTTATCTTTTAATTTTTACGTCAGTGGGCGTATAATTAATTTACAACTAAGACTATTTAAATTCATTAGTGGTCCAGTAAGGCTCTAAAAATACATAATAATAAACTAATTCGTCAATGGACGTTTAGCTAAATTATACTTAACGAAATAGCAATATAGTAATGGTCTAGTGGGACCCTAAAATTACAAAATTATTACTAAAATACACCCAACTCACATAAAAACTTATCGACTTAAGTAGTACCAATTTAGGGCGTTGTGGGGGTGTTGCTTAACTTCCCCACACGTAATCGTACTCCCGAACTCATATCTCGAAATCGCAGACCAAGCCCCATTTCTGACCTAAGGTTAGAGCCGATCGATGAGTGTTCGATCCACTCCAAGTAAGATCGATGGCGACTCCAAAAAGAGAACGCGACCTCGACTCCCGAAGGGACGGTTGCGACACCCAAACCACGGTGGCTACCATCCACCAAACAAGAATAAACTCTACTTGCATTCATAACATAGCACTTGGTGGGCAAATTTTAAAAATAAACACAATTCGGTTCAAACACGCCCACCAAGGCTCACTAAGCTCATTCAAAAATCAATCCATCATTCAATCGACCTAATTCACCTAATTCCTTTCCCTAAACCTAGATTCAATCATGCAAAGCACAAAAATTCAACATCACTTCACTACCTAATCCGATTTTCCCCAAATCACAAAGGTAAAGTCAAAAAACAAACCTGAAGACACAAGTAGGACGTAGGAGGAAGTGAGATGCGGGCGAGGACAGTGAAAAATGGTGGGAAAACTGAGCGGAGAGGGTTCGTCGGAGCTTCGTCGGAAGCTCGTCGGAGACTCGCCGCCGGAGACTTGGCCGAAAAACAATATGCTCCAAATCTCCCCAAAATCTCAGCACAGGCCAGTTTTGAGGAGGGAAGACTGTGTATGATGTTGGTTTTTGGGTTTCGCATTTTTCGGCTAGATTTGGCCGTGAAGTGAAGAGTCGCCGTTCACGCCCCTTTTATAGGCACGACACTAAGTTCACGGACGCGTTACCCAGTTCACGGTCTTAGAGACCATGAACACTCATGCGCGTCTGTGAACTGCGGTTGGTCGACAAGTGGTGATCATGCATAAGTACCAAGTTCACGGACGCGTTTGCATGTTCACGGTTTTATAAGACCGTGAACTCAGCAATCCGTCCGTGAACATTAGTGAAAACATGGCTCTTCTGATAAAATTTTGACTCAACCTATTCCTCCGTGCCTCCTAATCGATCACAACACAACCATAAACCGAAAAACCACAACACTCGGCACGGGGACACCACTTCACCACTCGAACTCTTCACGAGACACTAAAACGAAAACTAAGGAAAAGAAAACAAACCTCCGTTGGGTTGCCTCCCAATAAACGCTAATTTATCGTGATTAGCTTGACGGTTGGGGATCGATCATGACTTCAAATGTGATGTCACCGAGAGCGAATCCACCACACTCTCGGGGCGACGCTTGTAGCCTCCCATCTTAGGTTCCTTGAGTTGGCCCTCTTGGTTGGACAACATTGCCTCCTTCTTATCCAGCTTCTGTACCAGAGATTTACAATCCGTTTCCACCAGCAAAGGCAAAAAATGATTGTTCTTCGCCATTTTCAAACCCCACAGGAAGGCAAGAGCCTCTGCCATTTCCGGCTCCCATCGCGTCCTCGTCCGATGCACCGCCGCCATCTGGAAAACCCCTTCCTCATTTCTAATCACCATCCCAAAACCCGTTCCATCCTCTCCTAGCACCGCAGCGTCCGTATTCATTTTGTACAGGCCATGGGGTGGTGGTTCCCATCCAATTCGATTCTGCACCGGCTTCGGAGCGTTTCCCTGGGTTTGCAGCTGCTGATATTCCTCCAGGTAATTCTGTGCTCTCGCCACAACCTCCCACTCTTCTAGCTTAGGATTATTGAATAGATGGTTGTTCCTCTCTTTCCAGAGGAACCATAGGGTTATCAGAACCGAAGACATTTCCTCATCGGTTGTTCCTTCCATCAGATTACATAACCATTCTTCACATCTCTTCCCTTCTCCCAGCTGAAAGTATTTTGCCAGTAAACTCGGCCTCCACACCCTCCCTGCCCAGTCGCAATCCCGTGTAATATGTTCCTGTGTCTCCACCAACCCACAAAATGGACACTCATCATGTGCCTCTGGGATTCTTCTGCTGAGATTCGACCCTGTAGGGAGGATATTACTCCCCCATCTCCACACAAATACTCGAACTTTAGGAGGTAGCTGAAGCATCCACATTCGTTTCCAGTCAACTGGAACATATGTTTCGATTTGGTTGCTTAGTTGTCTTCTTCGCCATTCCTTGTACCCTGATCGAACAGAATACTTCCCCGTTTTCTCTTTTCCCCATATTCGCAGGTCTGGCCTCTCTCTTGAAGGGAGTGGAATCTGGTTGATTCGATCTCGATCAATAGGCTGGAAATTTTCTTGCTGCAGATTGCTTTTCCAAGTTCGAGTTTCTGGATCAATCAGTTTCGACACCCTTTCCATAATGCCTAAACCGGTAGCTTGAGCTTGTGATTGGATCTTGTAGTTCTCAGCTGATGGGATCCATCTGTCCCACCAAATTCTCACACTTTCCCCATCTCCTATCCTCCATCTCGTCCCCTCTCTAACCAGACTTTGAGCTTGCATCAAGCTTCTCCAAATATAGCTAGGATTCGTACCCAATTCCGCTTCCAGTACATCACAATGAGGATGGTACTTTGCTTTCAGTACACGTGCTACTAGGGAACCAGGGTTTTGGAGTAAATTCCATACCTGTCTTCCCTGGAGAGCAATATTAAAACCATGGAGGTTCCTGAAGCCCATTCCCCCTTCGTACTTTGGTCTACATAATTTGTCCCAACTCATCCAGTGTATCCTCTTTTCCTCCCTTTTCCTTCCCCACCAGAAACTAGCTATCATACTTTGAATTTCCTGAATAACTCCCTGCGGAATTAGGAACACTGACATGGCATATAGCGTCTGGGCTTGTGCCACGGCCTTAATCAGAACTTCCTTGGCTGCATTTGAAAGGAGTTTACCCTTCCAGTGTTTAATCTTGTTTCGGACTCTATCAATTAGCTGAGAGAAAACAGCTTTTTTGGCTCTCCCTATTACAGTGGGCAATCCTAAATACTTGTCATGATGCATGACAGTCTTCATACCCAAAATTGCTGCCATGTCCTGTCTGTCACTGTCAGTAACGTTTGTGCTAAAGGACAGTTCAGATTTGGCCAAACTTACTTGCTGCCCCGATGCTTGTTCATAAGTCTTCAGAATCTCCCTCAATGCCTCACCCTCTTCCTTCTTATTTTCGAAGAAGAATATACTGTCATCTGCGAAGAAAAGGTGTGTTATCATAGGTCCATTGTTACTCACCTTTAGTCCTCGTAGTTTACCCTCCTCAACTGCTTTTTTGGTTAGAGCCGAAAGACCCTCAGCACAGATAAGGAAAAGGTATGGAGAAATGGGATCTCCTTGCCTTAGTCCCCTTGTAGGCTGAATTAATGCTGTCTGATGTCCATTTACTAAAGCAGAATAGGTCACAGTAGACACACACTGCATTATCAAATGAACCCAATCTTCATGGAAACCTAGTTTAAGCATGATGCCCTCCAAAAAAACCCACTCAACCCTATCATAAGCCTTTGCTATGTCGAGTTTGGCCGCAACAAAGCCCTTTTTTCCTTGTTTCCTGTTCTTCATGGCATGGAAACACTCGAATCCCACCATGATATTGTCTGTAATATTCCTTCCAGGAACAAAAGCGCTCTGAGTCTCAGTAATCACCTCATTTATTATCTTCTTCAGCCTATTTGCCAGAACTTTAGATAGGATCTTGTACAGCACCTTGCAGAGTGCAATAGGTCTGAACTCCTTAGGCGAATTTGGTGTTTGAGTCTTTGGAATCATTGCAAGCAGCGTGTGATTTAGGTGAGCTGGAATCTGCCCAGTTAATAGTATCCTTTGTAATTCCAAACAGACTGAATCCCCTACCACTGCCCAGTTTTTTTGGAAAAACAAGGCTGGCATCCCATCTGAGCCAGGTGCTTTAGTGGGTGCCATCATCTTTAGGGCCTCCCAAATCTCCTCCCTAGTGAACGGAGCCATGAGCTCTTGATTCATTTGTGGTGTTACCTTAGGTTCAACTGCTGACAGGACTTCTTCCAAATTCTGAATCTGCCCTTGCTGGTATAATTTTGTCAAATAGTGCCAAAAACAACTCATTACCTCCTCCTGCCCCTTATACTCTGTTCCATCTTCATCCCTTAACTCCTTAACTGTGTTCCGTCTTTGTCTATTGGAGGCTTTTCTATGGAAAAAGCCTGTGTTCTTGTCCCCCTCTTTTAACCAGTCACTTCGAGACCTCTGTCTCCATCTGATCTCTTCTAGGTGCAAGACCTCATTAAGTTCCTTTTCTAAAACTCTTCTTTGAAGAAGTACTGCTTTGTTCTTCTTCTGCTTTGCAATCTTGGCCAGCGCCCTTTCAATCTTCTTCTTCCTGGCCTTCAGGCTGCCAAACGTCCTTTTACTCCAATCAAGCAAAGCTTTTTCACAATCCTTGATCCTGTCTTCCAGAGGTTTGGCAGGATCTTTGTTCCACTCTGCTTCAATTACAGTCGAGCATTCCTCATGAGTTTGCCAGTAAGATTCGAATTTAAAATGCCATCCCCACCTCACCTTTCCTTCTCGAAGATTTAGGTCCACTCTGATTGGTAAATGATCAGAAACCCACCTATCCAGGTGGTAAACCCGAGCTTCAGGGAACCAATCTTTCCAGCCTGAATTTGCAAATGCCCTATCCAGCCTTTCCTCAAGAAAATTCTCATCAACTCTTCCATTATCCCATGTAAACATGTTCCCATAGTAGCCAAGATCCTCAAGTTGGCATTCATCAACTGTTGCTTGAAATTCCTCCATGTTCATGATATCTGGAGGTTTATTTCCATTCTTCTCCTCATAACTAAGGACTTGATTAAAGTCCCCACAGACAAGCCATGGCATGTTCTGTTGGTCACTCAGCCTTCTAATCAGATCCCAAGTCAATGACTTGTTTTCCTGCTCTGGCCAACCATACACTCCTGTTAATCTCCAGTGGTTCCCTCCTGTCCCCTCAGTAATCCAAGCATCTATAAAGTTCTGGGTCAGGTTCTTCACCGTCACAGTCAACTCTTCCTTCCACATCAGCAAAAGACCTCCTGCTCTACCTCTAGAGCCTATTCCCTTCCCTTTCGACCATCCAAGTTGTCTGATAGTATCTTCCCACTCATGTTCTTGCCTCTTTGTCTCCATTAGGAAGACAATACTGGGGTCTTGTTCCTTGAGCAGCTCTGCTACTCTTGCAACTGTCGTGGGATTCCCCAGACCACGACAGTTGTAACTCAGGACACTCATTGGGCTGGGCGGTCCTGAGTTCTCTCAGGAACCGCCATTCCGCCAACCAGTTTTGATGAATTCTTATCCTCAGCTGTTATTTCAACACCTTGTATCTCCCCTGATCTTTCCTTCCACTGTGTTATCAGCTTTTCTCCCTGCATTTGATCAGTAGGAAACCTGTCCATTTGGTCAAAAGCCAACGTTCTAGCTTTTTTTTGGAAAGCTTCTTCTCCCTCCAAATTGACCCCTTCTTGTTCATTCGATGCTTTCGCTCTTTTCTGGGGGGTTAACTTTACTTGATTGTTATCTCTCCCTCGTGCTTGTTCTTGTCTTTTCCATACTTTCCCACAGAATTTTCTCCCCCCTATATCGTAGTTCTCCTTTTGAGAGAATTTCTTGACTGCTCCCACTGTCTTTTGGGCCTCTAGGTTCTTTAAGCCCTTTGAGGGGAGACTGGCGTCCACCTGATCTTCCTGTGTTTCAACCTTCTTCCCCTTGTTATCCCTTGCTGGGGGCATTTGATCAGGTTCCGACCCTGTATCCATTGGGGCAGGGTCCTTTGCTTTAGGCAGTGGTTCCTGGTTTGTTTCATATTGCTCCCCCACTTGGTGAAGTGGTGAATCCTTCTCAGAGTTCGATCCAGAACTCTCCATATCAAACTTCCTTCTTAATTGTCGCCAGATATCAGACTCCTCCTTCTTCGCTCTGTGTGAAAGCCAATTCCTCGGAGCTGGCGGGACTGTCCTCAAATCAAAACCAAAAGGGTCTATCTCCAGCTGGGAAGGCTTTGGGCATTTAGTTTTGATATGCCCTATTCTTCCACACGAATGACAGAACAGTGGAAGCTTTTCATATTTGACTTGAAACTCCCTCAGTTCACCTCCAATACTAAGCTTGATCTTCTTCTTTAGAGGATTATTCACAGATATACTGATTCTCAATCTCAGAAAATCATCCCATAACTTCTCAGAGCTATCATCAAAGAATACATATTCCCCTATTCTGTTACCAATCTTCTCAGCCATTGATTGAGTTCGTAGTTCAGCTGGGAACTCCTTTACCTGAATCCAAATTTCCATCTTATGCAGATCAGCAGGTGTTGGCTTCTTAATCCACCAGCTCGCAGTGAAAAGCAGAGCATTATTCTCATAATGCCACGGGCCTCCATAGCACACTTTATTGCGATCGTCTAGCTCCAAGAACTGGAACGCAAAGAGGTTGTTTCCCAGCTCTGTGATTTGGTAACTCTTCTTTAAACCCCATGCTTTGGTAAGGGCATATTTCAGTGATTTTATGTTTGGTTCTTTGTCTGACAGCAGTCTGCCAACCAGACCCAGATGCCGAACCGCCTCCATTCGGACCACATCCACATCAGCGTCTTCCACTTCCAAAGGCTCATCGTCCTCTTCTTCCAAAGTGATATGGTTAAGTTGCTCTTCTAGTCCATCCGTGGGGTTTCCCCCATCGATTGCGATCTCTCCATCAGTTACTTGTCTCGGACGGATATTGGTAGATTCCATCCCTCGTTTGAGGCCTTGTAACCTAGACTTGTTGATTAGCCACCAGTTTTGTTATCGCTTCTTGATTGAAACAATCTTCAGAAACTTTGTGTTGATGCCACACAATCGTCTGTCAAAACTCTAAATAGCTTCCTACCCGCACTGATTTCTTTTCCAACTCGGATACTGTTACCGCTCTGGATCTGTCCTTGAAACCCTAGGGTTTCCGCCGTCGCTCAAAACTCTCGCCATCAATCAACAATTCCAATCTAATTAAATCACAAGCAGTGGTTGTGATACTTAGTGAGCTAGCTTATTTGAACAAAAAACTAAGTTTTTTTTATGAACCCTTATTTACCAAAACTCATATCCATAATCATTACAAGTTCATTAAAATAATCTTCATTTTAAAAACCCAGATCTGCAGATAATGAAAATCGCAGATTAGCAAGTCAAAGTCAGCAAAACCATTTTTCCATCAACTCAGATCTATAAACAAACTAAAAACCTACAATAATATCATCTTTTAATTAGTTCAACCTCCCTAATAATACTAAGCCAAGTTCATAAGAATACACCATTTAAAAAAAAAACATTCAAACTCATACATAACCAATTTTATTTAAAACCCAGATCTGCAAGCTGTTTTCAAATCCATGAATCATATTTCTTGTCTTTTACTTGGTTCGATCTCCCAAGTCATACAAAGTTGGGTTTAGGAACCTTACCCAGGTCTGTCCATTTCCAAAACTGCGTCAGAACAAAAGTAGAGGTCTCAATCGATTGAAAAGATAAATAATCCTACAAAAAACAATTAAACATTGACGAAACAAATCCCACATGTTTCCGTCGTAGATCATCTCCATCTTCTGTCGTTTGCTCTTCCTCTTTACCGAAAACTAAAAACCAGAAACCAAAATGAAACCCAAAATCAGAATCGTAACATAAATAAATAAAGCAAAATCAAACATAGGAAAAACATGCAAGCTCTCAATCGTCACTTACCTTAGTTGTAAGGTTACCGCCGTCGCCAAAGCATTGTCGGCACACCTTTGTCGGCAGAGATCCCGCCACCCATTTCCTTCTTTCCTAAACCGAAGCAAACCCTGTATTCCTCAAATCAAACACAACAAAAAAAAAATAGTAGAATTCCATACAAAAATTTGGAAAATAGAAATGGGAACCATGCATGTCGATTTTACCTTCATCCTGAGAGGAATTGCCGATTTGGGGTCGTCGCGGTCGGGTTCGTTGATCGACGATGAGGAAGTAGAGCGACAGCGGCGGCAGCGGCGTCTGCTTAAGAGAGGGGAAGAATTTTGTTCGGGTCGTTTTTTGGAAGAGTGAACCGAGAGAGGGGAAGGGAGAATCGGCCAGCGGCCAGAGGAGAAGGGAGAATCGGCGGTGATGTTGTTCTTCTCAGTAAGTACTGGGGAAGAAGAGAAACAAACGAGAGAGAGAGAAAGAGGGAGAGGTCGCTTTCTTCCTCTCCTCCCAATTTTTTTTCTTTTTTTTTCGTCTGTGATTTCTGGAAGAAGAGAATCGAGAGGGAGTAAGGAGAGAGAGGGCTAGCAGCGGCTGCCGCTTAGGGTTAGAGGGGGGATTATGGTTTGATTAAGTCGAGGATAAAAAATGGTAGTGATTGGGTTTCGAACCCTCATTCTCGGGAATGAGTGCGTTCAGTGACCCGCAACTTAGCTAGTTGGGCTACTGGCCTATCATGCGTTAATCTAATCCTCTCGTTTAAAATCCTTAATACGAAAATGCTGAATGTGGATTAAGTTAGTTTTGCTTCTTTTCTGATACCTCAAGTTTCTTCTTAATAATTAAAATTCTTGCATTCATTTTAGTAACATCATAATAATCTAATAGAAATTTTATTAAACGCATTATAATACGAGAATAACGTTCAGTGGAACGTGATAAAAAGTTAGGATTAAAACTATGAAAGTTAACAAAACCTTTAATATGAGAACCATTATAGGTGTAACGTGACAAAAGTCATACAATTAAATCATCAAAGTTATAACGAACTACGTGGACTTTGAAACCGTATTACAGGTACGTAGCCAACCGATAAGGTTCGAGTCCAACTAACCAATTAACTTTATCTTTTAATTTTTACGTCAGTGGGCGTATAATTAATTTACAACTAAGACTATTTAAATTCATTAGTGGTCCAGTAAGGCTCTAAAAATACATAATAATAAACTAATTCGTCAATGGACGTTTAGCTAAATTATACTTAACGAAATAGCAATATAGTAATGGTCTAGTGGGACCCTAAAATTACAAAATTATTACTAAAATACACCCAACTCACATAAAAACTTATCGACTTAAGTAGTACCAATTTAGGGCGTTGTGGGGGTGTTGCTTAACTTCCCCACACGTAATCGTACTCCCGAACTCATATCTCGAAATCGCAGACCAAGCCCCGTTTCTGACCTAAGGTTAGAGCCGATCGATGAGTGTTCGATCCACTCCAAGTAAGATCGATGGCGACTCCAAAAAGAGAACGCGACCTCGACTCCCGGAGGGACGGTTGCGACATCCAAACCACGGTGGCTACCATCCACCAAACAAGAATAAACTCTACTTGCATTCATAACATAGCACTTGGTGGGCAAATTTTAAAAATAAACACAATTCGGTTCAAACACGCCCACCAAGGCTCACTAAGCTCATTCAAAAATCAATCCATCATTCAATCGACCTAATTCACCTAATTCCTTTCCCTAAACCTAGATTCAATCATGCAAAGCACAAAAATTCAACATCACTTCACTACCTAATCCGATTTTCCCCAAATCACAAAGGTAAAGTCAAAAAACAAACCTGAAGACACAAGTAGGACGTAGGAGGAAGTGAGATGCGGGCGAGGACAGTGAAAAATGGTGGGAAAACTGAGCGGAGAGGGTTCGTCGGAGCTTCGTCGGAAGCTCGTCGGAGACTCGCCGCCGGAGACTTGGCCGAAAAACAATATGCTCCAAATCTCCCCAAAATCTCAGCACAAGCCAGTTTTGAGGAGGGAAGACTGTGTATGATGTTGGTTTTGGGTTTCGCATTTTTCGGCTAGATTTGGCCGTGAAGTGAAGAGTCGCCGTTCACTAAGTTATAGGCACGACACTAAGTTCACGGACGCGTTACCCAGTTCACGGTCTTAGAGACCATGAACACTCATGCGCGTCTGTGAACTGCGGTTGGTCGACAAGTGGTGATCATGCATAAGTACCAAGTTCACGGACGCGTTTGCATGTTCACGGTTTTATAAGACCGTGAACTCAGCAATCCGTCCGTGAACATTAGTGAAAACATGGCTCTTCTGATAAAATTTTGACTCAACCTATTCCTCCGTGCCTCCTAATCGATCACAACACAACCATAAACCGAAAAACTACAACACTCGGCACGGGGACACCACTTCACCACTCGAACTCTTCACGAGACACTAAAACGAAAACTAAGGAAAAGAAAACAAACCTCCGTTGGGTTGCCTCCCAATAAACGCTAATTTATCGTGATTAGCTTGACGATTGGGGATCGATCATGACTTCAAATGTGATGTCACCGAGAGCGAATCCACCACACTCTCGGGGCGACGCTTGTAGCCTCCCATCTTAGGTTCCTTGAGTTGGCCCTCTTGGTTGGACAACATTGCTTCAGCCTCCCCCACTTCCGGGCCAAAGCTCCCTTCATCCTTCGTCTCCAAGCATTCATCCTCGATCCTTTGGGCATAGGACCCTTCTTAACTTCCTGTTCAACATCACCAAAAGCAACACAAGTAATGGTGGGGTTTGCCTTGACAGGCTCTCCTCCACTCTCATTCACATAATTTGAAACTACTTCCTTCACTTCATCACTCATAACCTTATGGTCAATTTCAAGCTTGATTCTCTACTTACCATCCCTCAAAATTAAGTTCCCCTCATTAACGTCTATCAATGTCTTGGCGGTGGCAAGAAAGGGACGACCGAGGATGAGTGGCATGTCCGAGTCCTCACTTATGTCGAGAATACGAAATCGGTCAGATAGCAAAACTTGCCCACTCTCACCATCATGTCCTCCACTGTACCTCTTGAGCTAATGACGAAACGGTCGGCTAAGGTGATGCTAAGCTTAAAGGTCTTAAGTTCGCCTACTGAAACGACCCGATTGTTTTTTTTTTTTTTTTGAAAACCAAACCATAACTCAAACCACCAACGGTTACTCTGGAGCAACCCAAAACAGGTTTACAAATCAAAACCAAAAATCAACAACAACAATGTTTAAGATTCTCAAGTGAAATGCCCTAAACATTTGGGCGACCTCAATCCAGAGCAACATAACATAAAACACAATCCTTGAGTTTCCCAGTATACTCATTAAGACATGAAACTAAAGACAGATATAATGGGAGGTCCAATCTCGTTGCCCAGATCCAGTTGACATCTTTAGGTTTGCCGCGGCTGTTCTCCTCGAGTAACCTCCTCTTGATGGATGCGTCCTCTTCCCCTCTCTGCACTTGGTGAGTGAGAAGGGGTCAGTCTCGTCTTTACTTCCTAAGGTCTTTTCCCTATGAGAACTCCCTACTAAACACGTTATTAGGGTTCCTGACTTAGACAAAAGTCGTTCTCGCTTTCATCCTTTATACTTTGTTATCAAACAATCTATAAGAGATCTCTATTCCTATCTTATCTTTAGAATTTCCTTACTTATACTCTTAATCCATAGACACCAACACAAGGGACCACCGCGTTACGTCTCGCCGTCCGGTATCCTTACCCTAGTATGCCAACCGCGTTACGTCTCGCATTCTGGTTGCATACCCAAACTCGGCAATGACACTGCGTTACGTCTCGTCGTCCAGTATATGCCCGTCAACTACTGCGTTATGTCTCGCCGTCCAGTAGTGACCCAACCGCCCGAGGGTTCATCTTACCACTAACCAACTATTACAATCATACATCCATACATTCATACATAGCACAACGCGTGCCTCCACCATTATAGACGGTGGGATGCCTCACACACACATCGCGCATTACTCAAAAATTAACTAATGAATAGCTTGAACGAAAAGCATGAACTAAAAGACCTACGACAGAGATTTTACCCCCTTTACACTCACCTCGAAAAGATGACTCCTTGATTTCTTCTTCGACGAAACCCCTCCTTAGCCGGATTATCTTGGGGAATCCTCTAGAACGTGTCTAGGCCTCGGTTGGATGACCCGGGACGTTGATCTCCTCGTTGATTGAATCCTCAAACGTCACCGCTAGAAACACGAAAGGAATGAGATCGGGATCAGTGTCGGGATCGACGGCCGCTTGGAATTACGAGGGAGGGGTGGTTTTGCGGCAATGGGGAATAAACAAAAAAGATGGGGCGGGGTTAAATTATGGGGAAAAGCCACAGAGAGGGCCGGGGGTTTAATTTTTTCCTGCTGGGGGTGATTTTGATGGGGAAAGGGTTTGGGGGTCGGCCTCTTGGCCGCCCCACTATATTATTATTTTTTATATATTATAATAATAATAATATAATAATAAGAATAGTTATTATTGTTATTCTTAATCCGCGGTTGTAACTCTTAGTACGTAACTGTTAAATTAACCGCTCATTAAATATGGTCGAACCCAAATCTAAAATACCGGGGTGTTACACCTACTTCTAACTTTTTGAAAAGCTTGTAGTGCATCACATTAACACTAACTCCTAGGTCTGCCAAGGCATTGTCTATATGATGGCTACCAATATCAAGAGGGATAGTAAAGCTACCTGGGTCGGAACGCTTTTTGGGCAAGCGATGGAGGAGGTAAGTCGAACACTCCTCGCCAAGAGTCACGTTGGCGAGGCCTTCAAGCTTTGGCTTCTTGGTGAGGAATCCTTTGAGGTACTTAGCATATCTTGGCATTTGAGCCATGGCTTCAAGGAAAGGGATGTTGAGGCGGAGGTTGCATAACATTTCCATGAAACCTCCACACTCGTTCTCCAACCTCTCCTTGTACATCCTTGTGGGATAAGGAAGAGGTGGTGTGTATCCATCCTCCGGCAATGCCTTCCTTGCCGCCTTCCTCTCATTCCTCGAGGGCTTCCCTTATCCCTTATTTGGGTTGGTCTCTTCCTTGTTGGTATCTTCCTTCTCCATCGCGTCATTAGTGGCGACTTCCGAAATCACCTTCACAATCCTCACTTGAAGCGCATTTACCCCAGCATGGTCCTTGGGGTTCATCACGGTTTGGGAAGGTAAAGCTCCATTGGGTCTCTCGGTGAGGATGCCGACAAGGTAGCTGATTTGCACCTCCAAGCTTTGGAGGCTTGCTTGATGGCTTCGGAGACCCGCCTCAACCGAGGTAAACTTGGTAGTCGCCAC